AGGAGAATGGGGATGAGGACAAACGTAGGAATAGCGTTCCGTGCCAATTTGACTTTCCCCTCGCCCGATGAGGCTATCTCTGTACTGTTCCTGTGCTTGCTGCGACCTCGCGGAAGAACACATTACAGCGAAGCCGACGACAATTCGATCGTCGATTTTCCCCATGTCCACCGTGTGCTACACAGCAACGTGTAGCAGGTACAGTGACTTGCGCGTGAATTAGTTTATAGTGAATGTGGACTTGCCCGGCATCTACCGCACTCTCTCTTCCCCACTCCCCCACCTGGACCCGGTGTCAAGACATAGTCCAGAAGACCGGAGGCGGGGGGGATGCAGGTGGATGGCACGGTCGAGCCCGCACCTTGGCGCTCCACTCCACATCTCCCGGTCCACACATCAAAGGACCAGGTTTCTTGATCAACAACAGCAACAATAACAACACCCAAACAGGGGTCAGAAGGACGAGGGTGATGACTTGGCAGTCATGCACAAGCGCATCTACCGGCAGGCGATCAGGTGTCAGGGAGCTGCCCGCCCATACCAGGTTGCGATGGCTATGGTTTGCTGATACTGGCAAAGCACATGCTCCATGACTATAATTAACTTGGGTCACAGCACTCCAATTGCTTTCGGCAGAATATAGACTTTGACCCGTGAGCCCGCATCCGAACCTCATTGAATCTATAACTGTGGATTAATTATGGGTATTGGTTAGTCTAAAGCCGAACTTCCTGAAGCGTTCTACAATTTGCACATACCCCCGGTATACGTCTCAGTGGAGGACTTTGCATCATAAAAATTTGAGGCCAAATTACCCCCAGGCAGACGCATTTCCCGATAAATACTATCGACGAAGGCAGAAACACACATTTTAGGTTTAGTTCGCTTGGTCAACCAGACAGGCCTTAAATCCAAGCCCGATGAACCTGAGTGCAGATTCGCACAACAGATTCGGACTCGTCACTGAGGCGAGGGCACTCATCCTGACGGCTGCGATTGGGAGTATTCAGCCACGCAGGAGCGGATTTCACAAATAAGCCCTGCAACCGAAATGAAACGGCGACCATTTATTTCCCAGTCAGTGCAAATGACCGTATTGGCTTTCGTCATCCAATATCTGCAACCTACCGGTCATAGTGGTCACAATGATGCTGTGAGCTTGAAACTTCGGCACAAAAATGTCAACTAGGCGAGATCGATGAATGTGACGTCAGTTGGGAACAACAGATGAAGCTTGTAGCCAGCGGCATACTCCTCACTATGTGGAATACTGCTTGAATCCGCAGTCATGGCGTAGGCCCGTTCGAAAAAATTTGGTCTACGTGATCACCACAGTTTCAGTGAAAGCCCTCCGGCTGTCAACCGCACATTGATGCAACATTCGGGTACATCATTAGGTGACGTGGGCGAGACTGCAGGGTGGTTGACATGACCAATTACAGAACTTGCCCCAAAGCGCATCTAGGTCGGGATCTGGCAGACCATGTAGTCAAACCACATCGCTGCGACCAAAAAACATGTACATCGTTTTCTCGACATTCGAAATGCCTGTCATACCCAAAGAGTTTCGGTGGTTTTTTGGTAGAATTGTAGAGAAAGGGGCCGTTTATAGGTCAAAGACGTTTATGGCAGTTAGAGCAAGCGCACTGGTCGAATTGTCGGAGGGGTGTTACGTAATTATGATGCCGTTTAATTTGGACCCACGAGGTGACTGACTGACCTCGATTACAAAAACGATATCGCCTCGCTAGCGTCAGGCAATGATGACTACAGAAGGTAGCGTCCGGATGGCTAAAGCTGCCAAATTTGTCGGCTTTTCCCTAAACGCCAGGAAAACCAGTGTTTTTGACGCATACTTCTGATCAGGAGAAGGGATCTCTGGGATAAATGACCGTCCGCCTGAAGACGTAAACGGCTTCATATCCCCAAGACAAAAGAACGGCATGGTCTGCCAAATCTCTGCTGTTTGCAGGGTTTCCTTAACCATAAAAAGTGATTATGCGCGCAAAACTATCTCCGCTAACATATACATTCGCGTACAGTAGATATCAATCAGGCAAGGCTTTCTGCACGACTATGGATGCCTGACTCTGTCTATGGAAGGAAATCAAAGGCGAGTGGTGTCTGGCCGTTGTGGCTCAGAACCATCGTTCGAGCGGCGTATGAGATACTCAACGCGAAAGCACTGCGAGGAAATTTTACGCCAACTCAGTAGGACTGCTGGGGTTGTGTAGGCACGTTCTTGGTCCTCTACCCCACGAGTTCGCTATTCCTGTCCTCAATCTCGCGACACCACCGACCCGGAAGCGTCTAGAAGGCCCACGTAAAAACAAGCTCAGCAGAGTCCGCCAAGACATGGAATTGGTTTTCGGACTCTTGGCATACGGTGTCTGTCGGTAGTTTAGTACTTGGTGTGTCAAGGCCTCCAAAGCCGCAGCCGTACAAGATGCGGACACAAGTACTACGTGAGCAGGCATATTGGTTCGAGCGTCTAATCGTCTTTAGGGATCTGAGGTAAATAGGCGCTGTGCAAAAACAGGAAAGTTCGCAGGTGATTGATGAATAGACGGGAGTCCTGACGGCATACCTACGATCACTGATTCAGTCACATTGTCAAGAGTTTTTAACTTATGGTCTGGTCTATAATGTAGGATTCTCAGGGCGGGCAGGTATCAACGAATCAGGTAGCTGGTGTAGCGCGTCTTGAGGAAGAAACAGAGGGGAAAATTATGCTGAAAGTGCAGATAATCAAACGGATCAGAGTAAGTAGATAGAACAGGGCAGAGAGTTTTCTGGTAGTGAAAAAGGGCTAAACGGACAGCTTTGACAGTATGCACATAGTATGACTGTAGTAATAAAGGGGTTCAGTAATGAAAATAATGGCTTTAAAACGTGAACATGCCTGCAAGCTTTACGGTCATTGACTGGTCAAGAAGCACGTTTTCAGCCTTTAAGTCCCGATGGACAATATTATTTCGATGGCAGTGCTCAACGGCGGATAAAATTTCGGCAAACTTGTACCGCGCTACTTGCTCCGTAAGACGACCGTTATTAGCGATGTATTCTAAAAAAATGTAAAATAACATAATGAGAACACTATCGCGTCAGACTGACAGAAGACAAACTACGACAACGTTTTTGCACCGCTATGCCTTTGCAAACTGTGGTTACTTCCACTGACGGTTGAAAAAAAACTATCCCGAGCGGCTATTAAATAAAGGGAAACGCATTATCCTTTAAGCTGAGTTGTGGAACGAAAAAGGAGAAATCGAGTCATGGGCCCATGAGGGCCATTCTTCGCCATTAGCAGTGTGCCAGCTACCCAACAAAAGGAGCCTGATTACATTTTCTACCGCTATTCAACTGGGTTCACAGGTCGACAAGAGCAGAAGCTGCCGTTAAAGCCGCGAGCAGAGCTAGCAGTTGTGGAATTAAGTTTTAAAACCTGTGACAAGCTACAATCTAATTTTGTTGACATCGCGAAATAAGGTGATAGATCAGACTACGACGCCCCCTTGTGTTAAAAACGATCGCTCCAGGGTTGCGTAAAAGCCGTTTTAAAGTTACAGCAAGTTGCAAACAGAGGGTCAGGAGGCATCACATATGGCCATATGTTCATTTCCCGGTAAACACTGGAAGAGCGTAAGCCTCAGTGAGCCTTAACGTAAGCAATTTAAATTTTGACAATGATATACAGTAGGGTAGAGTAACAGAGTGAATAAGTCAGACGTGGCATGTTGGATTTTAGCATAAAACAGGTATTACCGCTCTTACTAACGTTCAACTTAACTAAATTTATTTGGTCGGATAAGTGTAGGTGAACTGATTATGGACAAACGAACAGTCCATAGGGAAGAGTTGGTACAACGTCTCCGACTTATTAATTGAAATAGGAAATCAGTCAGGTGGATATAATATTGCCAGACAGGTAAGATATACAAGGGCAACAACGTTGGGACTCACCAAATAGTTCGCCATTTGGAAGATACTCCGTAACAATGCATAAAAGTTTGGCCGTTTGCATGACTTGATACAGCTTGATTATGTTCGGATGCTGAATCGTTTTTAATATCTCCACCTCTCGCTGAGCCTTTTCCAAATTTTCGCTGGAAAGTCTTGTTTTGTCGATGATTTTGATTGCCACCTAGCGAACGACATAAATCCAAATAGTCTTTCCTACCTTAATCTGTGTAATAGTGTGCCTCGCCAGTTTTACTACCGAAAAGTTTCCTTTACCGATGGTCTTCTCCAACACATAAGTTCCAATCTTCTGAGTAGGCTGAGCGCGACCCACCGCAGCATTTGGAGGTGCTTGTAAACAGCGAACAGGTTTCGATACTTTATTTGGGAGGGTATTTTGAGGGTTTTCATGGAACGGTGACATATTCAACGTAAGACACGAGGTAGAGTGTGGACTGGACGATTCCGTAACCATAGTAGAGGGATTAGATTGGGGTTTTTCGGAGGTCGTTATATTGAAAAATCCCGTAGTTAGTGGTGGATCATTAACGAATGAGTAGCGAGTGCTATTAGTAACCATAGTCCCGACATTCTACAAAAACTGGGCATTTGCATCGCCCACCAGCCCAAACGGCCCACAGCCCAACATATGACATCGGAACTAGCCAATGACTGATAAGGCGAAATGAGAAATCGTCTTAGTTGGATTACGAACAGCAGTGACCAATTATGACTGACGATACTACACAATTGTAGCGTTAAGTGTCGGTTGTCAAAAGTGAGGTCAAGGTCAGCATGATTGCAATATCATCTTCACCATCGCAGATCAGACCGGATTTGTTGGCGAGTGCTAGAAACACAATTCAATTTTGGATTTCTTGTTTAAAATTAAATGTCGAATTCATCACTTTCTGCGTCAGCATGTAGTTAAAAATCGTCAAATCAAGTGCTGCTACATCGGGCGTGATCCACCTGGAGCCAGTTTGCTATGTGATAATTCAGAAGCAAAAATAAATTTAAGTCAGGAGCTGAAACCCTGCCGGAAAGTATGGGGAACTGCCCTAACCCTTTTGTTGACGTTTTTGCACGTTTGCAGTGATTGCATTCCTATAGTTCTTTCTGGCCACTTAAGTTATTAGCAGTCTTTGGACATTCAACGTGTGCTTTGGATTTCCTGCTTCTAGATATAAACGATTAATAACAAAACGCGGTGTTGTGGGTAAACATATACTGGCTATTAATACCATGCCAAAAGCAGTTATACTTTTAAAAAGATTCTGACAGTTCCCTATATTTACATTATGAACATTATTGGATAATATTTCGTTTTGCCTTTATTAGTTACAGGAAGCACTGAAAAGAAACTGGTACCGTTGAACTGCATGCGCGTTTTATATCTTGAGTTCATTAAACGTATGAGAGGCAGAATATCAGCTTGGAAACTCGGGATGTGGAGCGAAAAATAAAGCAGTACGTGCGGGATAACCATAAGTGCGTGTAGCGCTACTTGCTTTTGAAGTCAAATATGTTTTTGCATTCTCTAATATTTTAGGCAGAATGCACATGAAGAATTAACAAAATGGACTTGGATTTGGGTGAACGGAAGAGACCTCATGACTAAAGATAGACTTCGTGCACGAAACTTTTAAAGCTGAAATCAGGACTAATTAATAGGAACTTGATGGTTTTTCGAATCAACGTGTATCTGCTTGATTCATCCTATGGCTTATTTTACAATGCCTGTAAATGAGCATGTAGTGTACTTGTGACTGTCATTATAATGGTCTAAATAAAGCTCTGGAAACTTGTTATCTGTCAGCAAAATGTTCATACATATGCGTAGTAACCTGTCATGACCCGCAGATGTGTAGTAATACAGCTGTGAGAGTGTGCAGTCTGAGCACTACCATCATTATGTCAGATCCCAAGTTGAAGGGAGAAGACAGAAGACACCAGAATGAGGGGTTGATTGTATACAGGCCGTGGAACTCGTTTCCAAGCGAGATGGTGACGGCTGACACAGTTAGTGTGTTTAAAAGAAAACTTGCTCGTCTAGTTTTCGACAGAAATCGGCTTGTACAGCATGACTATGCACAGCCAGTTTTGTAAAATCTGTCATATACAATCTTCCGCACTAATTTACAGTGACCCTAAGCACTACCTTGTGATTACGATTGAACTGTGACCCAATCACATTTTAATTGCCTGCAATTTTATTTTATTTTTGAGTGTGAATCTGCGAAAGCACTGTACATATATAGGGCCATTAAGGGCTCTGCCTGTAACCCTTCAATATACATATACATACATATACATATACATAGAACCCGGAGTTGTCACCTTAGGCAGCAGTGGCCACTGGCACAGCCAGGGCTGGTGTTGACTGCATCCAATCATGCCTGAGAATCCCTGAGATAGTGCTGGCAGCCGCTTTTGTAGGCTAGCGGGCAAAGCTCAAGTGGTGTTCAATCAGTGTGTGTTGCATTTGCCGAGGGATGGTGACCCTATGGCTTGTTTTGCTGGTTGCAGGGGGTGGCGCGCTCAAGTGGCGCATGGGTAGCCGCGACACTGTGGGGACGCAATTGTGTCCGAGATGAAGTCGGTCGACTGGCTTCAGGTCAGCTCGTCGGAGACGGCTCGCTGCAAGGGGTGGATGACCTTGAGGTAGCGAGGTCCTTAACAATGACGCCAGACCGGTTATAACGTTTGCTCGCTGCAAACGTTACTATTCACTGTTAGCTCAAAGCCACATTTTCGAACGACCACCGGACCTAATGATTCTGGCTGGGTTGGCGGAGCTTCAGCACATGTTGTACACGTACATGTTAATAAGTGAACGACTTTGGCAGAAACAGGAAATCCAAAATCGACAGGTATGCAGGGACAGTTCAGTTCAGTTTATTGAGGGAAATAGGCGTGAGCCTTTGAGTACGCCATTCGCAACGTAAAAATGTGTGGTATACAGATAAATGTTCTGTGCTGAAATAGTTCAAACACGCCCATAATGGTAGGACAAAAAGAGAACGAGGTTGGTCGTGGTAGCAAATTCAACAAAGTCCTCGAAGGCCAGACTGCAATCCAACCCCTTTACAATGCGGAAGGCTTGCAAGAGATCCCCGAAGTTGCCTGTAGCTCAAAGGAAAGAGGTTTAGATTTACTAGGCGTGTTGCATAAGTAAAGGAGCATTGAACCCTAACCATCTTCGTGGCTCTCCTCTGGACTCTTTGGAGACAGTTTTGGTCCTCAACCGCCCGCGGCCTCCAGCCTTATATGCCGTGCTCTAAATGCGGCCGGACGAATGTTCCGAATTTCTTTGAGGAAGCATCTTCGTCAAATCCATAAACGTACGCTTGATGGTGTACAGTACGGACATTGCGGTTTTTGCCACTCTCGAACAGTGGGCGGATGGTTTTAGGGAGGTCATCGCGCATTACTCCATTATTGAGAAAAGCTGGAATTGGAAGAAACAAATGGATGTGATCCTTCGGAGGAGTGAGAGCTATAGTGGTTTGCAAAATACACACGTGGATATTTCAGAATGGGGAGTACCAGAAGTTTTTTTACCTACAGGATTCTTGTGAATTAATTTTCTGTGCCAGATGATCTGCCAAGAGCGTATTGGAACCTGATGCCGCAGTATGCGGCGGAGGATAGACTTAACCAGCGCTTAAAAAAGCAGTGGGAAAGAGGACATCCAGAGGAATATCCGTGATTGCAGCTATGAGCTGGTTAGCATTATAGACGTCCTTATGTTACCGCATGGAATGTGCGAGGTTCTTTTGTCACGAGTGACAACTGGAATGATTTTTCTACTGCAACTAGCACTAACAGAGGGATTCGCCTTGATTTAGGATTTAGTGACCGCTGAATTTCATGGTCCTCTGATCTTGCTGTGCATAAATTGAACGGGGGTACGTAACTTTTTTACGCCTTGGTTTTCTGCGCGATAGGAGAGAAAGTTCCTTGAGGGAACGATGCCTGTGAAGTAAAAAATTATGGGATTCGGCAGCTAACCACGACAGGAAAAGTGGTCGCTAAGCGTACACAGTTTTCCTTTGTACTTTAATTAGCCACCAACTATTCTCCTCTATTTCTTATCGTAATGTTGGTAGTTAAATTCACTTCAATTCAATTCAATTATTTTTATTAAAGACCCGTCGGGGTCCCATCAAAGCAAGTAAAAATAAATTTACATGCAAATTTTAGACGATGTAGGCAAAATCTGCACAAAGTGCAATGCATAGTTTTTGAGATTAGAAGTCCGTTAAGCAAAATGAAAATGAAAAAAAACGAGGGGTGAAAAAAAAACTCCAAAGCAAAATTTATAAATGATTGTAGTAATTTAACAGGAGAAAAATAAAGCCCCTCAGAAAAATAGCATCAGAAAAAAAGGGAGGACTGGCCTGCATGTGGCGGTACAAAATGGAATAAAGCCCGACATCAACATGGCCGAAATAGATGTTAGCTGTATATGGCATTGTGTAACGGATTTCATAAAATGGTACGTAGGCGGGTCGGTCAGGACTGGCCTGTATCGCCTTGAATAAGAAAAATAAGTGCCGAAATTGAAAACCAGTCTCAAGCCGATAGGAACCCAGATGCGGTCAGTTTCATTCAACCGAGTCCATCCGAACATGGGGGGAGATGCGACCAGACTACTAGTATATGGCGAATATAGAAGGCTTTGACAAGACCGCCGATGGAGCGCATTCTGTAAGGGCATGATGACAACCAGTCTCGAGGCGACAAGAACCCAGATGCGGTCGGTTTCATTCAACCGAGTCCATCCGAACATGGGGGGAACATGGGGGGAAGGGAGATGCGACCAAACTACTAGTATATGGCGAATATAGAAGGCTTTGTCAAGATCGCCGATGGAGCGCATTCTGCAAGGGCACGATGACAACCAGTCTTGAGGCGAAAAGGACCCAGATGCGGTCTGTTACATTCATCAGAGTCCATCCGAGGATAGGGCAAATGAGATGCGACCAGATTACTAGTATATGGCTAATATAGAAGGCTTCGCCAAGAGCATTGATGAAGCGCATTCAGTGAGGGCATCATGAAGATCAGTCTCGAGGCGATAGGAACCCAGATGCGGTCGGTTACATTCATCAGAGTCCAACCGAGGATGGGGGATGGGAGATGCGACCAAACTACTAGTATATGGCGAATACAGAAGGTTTCGCCAAGAGCGTCGATGGCGTGCATTCTGTGAGGGCACGATGCATGAACTAAAAAATTGGAATAATTAACATTTCTGGTGAGGGATCTTAGGTAGCGAGACTACTCATAAAGAAAGGAAACGTGAACAGCTACGGAAATTTAATAGCGGCATGCTAAATTCCCGGTGGCCCTTTCTCAGTGTCATAGAAAAAGTTGTCTGGGAAGGATGAGGAAAATAAATGCCAGGTTGCCGTCTTG